CAAGGCTTCCGTTACAACTCCTTTCCTTTCCAGTGCTGTTCCCATCCTGCACTGGTCTCTATATGGCTAGGACACAGGGTAAGATACAAACTATATATGCTGCAGATTTTCCTAATGTACAACAAATAATGCTCTCCAAAAGTGCCTCCTCCACACTTTTAAATTCCCAGTTTGTTTAAAAACTGAGCTTCAGAAGTTTTCTGTATGTGTACCTCTTAGTTTCTATAGACTAAAATAAATCTCCTTCCCCATCCTGTACCTTTAAACTTCTTCACCAGTTTTAAAAGCCTGCAAGTTCTGGTGTGACCCTGCTGTACACAACTGTGACCAGCACAGGATGCTCTTCAAAAATGTTGTGAGACCAAGTTAGTTACCACCACCCAAGGCAGCAGGTGTCACCACCTGTAATCACTTCCCTAGCGACAGAATGAACTGACTTACCCTCAGCCACAAGGCAATACGAACCTGAGGGAGGACAGGCGTACTTTCCTGTGCTGGAATAGACCAAGCCTAGCATCTTTTCTCTGCTGGCACCCCAAGGATTGCCATCCACAGAAGTAAAAGCACAAGTTACAGTGGAAATGAGTCACCAGTGGGTGGGGAAATTTAATGGATAGAGCATCTCCTACATTCAAGTAACCCAAAGTAACAAGGGACTGCCACAAGAGGCTGGCTAGGTTCAGGGAAGACTCTCTCTTAAAATAATAGTAATAAACACTCATGAGGAAGTCTGTTTTGCAAGGAAAGTGGATAATGGTCTGTAAGTTGCAAATGGATGGAGAAAATGTGTATCCAAATTAAAAGAACACAGAAACAAAATTTATAACAGAACTAATATGATACATGCTGTACCACAAAAAAATTGTCAGTTGTGTAGATCCATGTTCTCAGAACCCTTTAACCACTAAATTACAGGCTCTTTGTTTAGAAATAAGCATGGCTTGATCCCAGCTGATCCCCCAGTTGAATCATATGACAGTTGACCTGCCATAAGATGCTCACAGCTACTCCCAGTTTACTCCTGCATAGTTTGACCTGCAAATGTAATAAAAATACTTTCTTGTTCTTCAACCAAATCACTAATAAAAACTTTAGTTCTGAACTTTGACAGACAGCTGGTGAATCCCTCTGGATACTCCCCTCCAGCTGACAGGGTAAAATTTCTGACTATTCCAAGAACAGTTTCCAACCTGCTGTGCACCCACATAGCAAATTCATAATCCACAGTCATAAATTTTGCACACAAGAAGGTCTAAAAAACATCAAGGTATTGTCCACTCAGAAAACAATTTGGGTAAGAACATATCTTGTCAAACCAACACTTGCACATCAGTTTTCACTCGCTACCTTGTGAATATTCTTACGAGTTATTACTTGTTCCTCTATTTTTCCAGCACCCGCACCAGTTAACCTGATTCATGGAGGGTTTCTGTCTTTTGACATCACTAAAACCTCATAATTTAGCCAGGTTAATTTATTGCTATACTTCTTAGCCTTCATTGACATTAGGGTTATTTATACTTGTGCCTTTAACAGTTGGAAGAGGTACAGGTATGAATTGTTCTACATACCTTTTCACTTATTCTTCTTAGACATTCACAGATATCTCCCATCTGTTTTCTGAATTTATTAAAGCCCATTTTCGTGAAGTAAGCTGTTTTCATTCTAGTTATTTTCCTCCCTCCTTAATGACTACTACATCCCACTTCTCATGGTCAAATGTGTTTGGTTGTAACAGTGACTTCTGTCAATTAATATAACACAGAACAAATCAACAGAATAAAGAGCAAAGTTTGAACGCTTTCATGAAAAAGTTTCACCATCAATTTCTTCTTTGTGTGGGAAAGCCTCGCTCACTTCTTTCAGAGTTATTTCATTCTGCTGATGCTGAGGGGTTAGGTTTTTTCGGATCATCTAAAGCAACAGCTTTAGTGCACAGTGTTGAATATACATCAGTAAATTTAACAGAAAACAGAATTTTCTAAAGTAGTATTTTCACACAGAATTCCAGTAGTAGTATTTTTCATATGCACTCTCCTGTTCTCTAGTTACATAAAAAAAGGACAATAAGGGAGAATTAACTGACTGTGAATGAAAACATTTATGGAAGATGTGCTATTACTTCTAAGTATCTCAAATTTCAGTCTGTAAAGCTAAATTATATTATATACTTATATATATTTATATATTATATATAAATATATTATATTATATTACTTTCATTCCAAAGATAAAAGAGAAGCCTGGGAAGAGTGAATAAAAAATTAGCCCTTTGCCAGTTGGGGTGGTTTTTTTCTGCTTCTTAGTACTTTTTTTTTTAAATACATGATTTTTCCCAGATAATATGCATTTGACTAGGTCAGATCAGAGGAATTAAAAAGCTTAATAGCAAACTATTAGAAGGCAGAGGAAGACTGAGGTGAATATGGTTAGGAAGTGTTAGAGACTCTGTAATCAAAGTTCTAGCTCTTCACTTTGTTTCAAGAGTTCTTGTATAACCTTATGCTATGTAACAGCCCAAACTCTTCATTCCCACTTCTGTGCCAGTTCCAGCTTGCAATTTATTCTTCGTCAAGTCATTTTAATCCATTTTTCTATTAAAAGTTTTCTACAGGAAGTGAAATAAATGACAGTGAAAAGTCAGCAGCAGTGAGAAAGAAAATAGGGGGAAGAGAAGATCTCTCCCTTTTGGTGGCAGTAAAACATTGCATTAGTGCAACCTGGTGGTGCAGAATTTTCAATGTATCAAGACAAAGAAAGTAAGACAAGTGAAAGAACGAGAGAAGAAAATCCAATAACAGAGGAGTACTGATAATTCAGTAGAACTGCACTGTGTCACCTGTATCACTAAAATAGAATAAACGTGCAAAAGCCTTAAGGTTTACAGAATTGCTGTTCTCACTGACTTCATTCATAGAATTGTTTAGGTTGGAAAAGACCTTTAAGATCATGGAGTCCAACCATTAACCCCACACCACCATGCCCACTAAACCATGCCACATCTACGCACTTTTTCAACACCTCCAGGGATAGTGACTCCACCACTTCCCTGGGTAGCCTGTTCCAATGCCTGATAACCGTTTCAGTAAAGAAATTTTTCCTATTATCCAATCTAAACCTCCCCTGGCACAACTTGAGGCCATTTCCTCTCATCCTGTCACTAGTTACTTGATAGAAGAGACCAGCACCCACCTCACTACAACCTCCTTTCAGACAGCTGTAGAGAGCAATAAGGTCTCCCCTCAGCCTCCTTTTCTCCAGGCTAAACAACCCCAGTTCCCTCAGCTGCTCCTCATAAGACTTCAGCCAGAGGTTGCAAGTGCAGAGAGCATTTAAGAGCTGGCCCTCCCTACTCAAAGCAAAATCAGTGCAACTTTACCTCCAAAGTCTTATACCCAGTATTCCTACAGTTTGTCTGAAGAAATACTGGGAAACATGAAGGCTGCCACGATGTGATCTTAGATACAACTATTTCGATTCATTACTAATTTTAAAAGCCTCTTATACTGTGCTCCTGCTGAGTTCAATAGCTTCGTCCCACCTCCCCTGCGCTCTAACTGGCACTACAACTACAGTATAATTAAGTTCTAAACCCAGAGATCAGCCTTAAAGTTTCAGCAGAAGGCTTTCACTGTGAAAGGCACGCCAGCAAAAATTCGAACACTGAGAAAAAGACTGCCAGTATTTCTGATAAAAAGAGTCATTTTTACTGGTAAATAAGGACTGACACTGCAGTCATCACACACAAGGAATGTGACTGCAGTTCTTACTGCTTCCTGTATGTTACAAGACACAGCCTTTTGTACACCCCTGAAAGTCACCATGAACCCCAAAAGTGAGAAGACCAAAAGCTGAAAGCAAGATGCAGAAGGCCTGGAAGTGCTACACTGTCATATTAACTCAGAGGAAAAACACACTGCTGACAAAAGGGTGTTCACATCTTCTTCCCAGACACTTGTTTGGGCAGACCTGCTTTGAGTCACTGCCAGTTGTTCATGAAGTTGCACAGCAAAACAGGTCAGGGGAACTGCTCTGCAGGCAAAATAATTCCAGAAGACATTACATGTTTCTGAAGGGAAAGTGTGTGCCCCTTCCCTCCCTTCCTTTTAGGAAGGGTACTAAGTGACTGTGCAGCCTCAGACTGTCTGCTTCTTGTACTCTGAAGAATATCAAGTAGGAGGTCTCCACAGCCTGGGGCTGCTCTAGTTGATGCAGTCACACAAAACACATGGAGTACAGCAAGCAGATAAACAAGCCTGTGCAAGGAGAAGCAAGAGGACCGTAAATTATTATTACTATGGCATAGCATGTGCACTTAGACACCTTCAGGGAAGCTGCCTTCAATACGTTATACGTAGCCGTGCAGCGTAAGCATAGCATCTGTAACGAACGATGTGAGGACATGCTATAAGAGCACCCAGGCTCCTGGAACACAGGCAGAAACCTAGAAAACTATTTTTCCTCAAGAGCGCAGCCAACACACGTGCAGGAATTCACTT